TAATACAAAGTGAGCTTTTATATGCTAACATATAAGTTTGGCATAATTTAACATTCTGCATGGGATTTAAGTAACATTATTACATACTTAGAAACCAGGCTAGTTTTCTGGGAAGTAGTTTTATGATATTAATCTTGTTATAGTACCTATACTTACGTAGAGTTTTATAGCTAGAAAGTAAATTTAAATACATACATTATTTTATCATGTTTTACTTAAATTTCTCAGCAAATTTTAAAAATTTTCAATTTTTAATTAATTAATTTTAGAGACAGGATCTCACTCTACCACCCAGGCTAGGGTCCAGTGGTGTGATCATAGTCCATTGTAACCTCAAACTTTTGGGCTCAAGCTATCCTCTTGCTTCAGCCTCCTGAATAGGTAGGACTTACAGGTGTGTGCCACCACACCCGGCTAATTTTAAATTTTTTAAAATAGAAACAGGAATGCTGTTATGTCACCCAGATTGATCTCAAACTCCTGACTTCAAATGATCTTTGGCCTCCCAGCACTCGGATCACAGATGTAAGCCACTGTGTCCAGCCTCAACAATGTTTTATATTGTATATTACAATGTTCTTTATGCTGATGACCTAAATATAGATTTAGTATGTATTGTCTATTCAACCAATTACAGAGCATTGGGCATCATATTACCAAAAAATAAACAACTTAGTCCCTTTTACTCTTTGTGAAAGTGATAAGAGTTGAAATTCAAATGTACTCTCTTTATTTCATAGTTTAGTATGGTTTTTGCCACATTATTGCTAGTTTCTGTTTGTCATTTTTATGAACTCAATGCTCTCATTCAAACAATTTGTGTTCCTTGTTTGGGTATAATTTTCCTTCCTCCCTTTTTCTATTCACTCATAGATTCCCTTTACCAACTGACACTTTTTTGAGCGCCTACTATATACCAAACATATAAGATTCATAAAGATCACATTTCAAGAATATATTAATGCAAATATTAATTAATGTCTCTTGTAAGGACATAATGATATTAATTTATCAAAATAAAGGCAATTTTCACTCTATTAGTAAATGATACAAAATTATAACGAGATTATTTCAGTTTTTGAAAAACTCAATGTAGGCTTGAACCCTCAGCTTGCGTGGTGTGTGTCAGCTTTAGTATATATGCAGTAAACTTGACTATAATTAGAATTACCTAACTATTTGTAGTGTTGTCTTATAAAAGATGCTGATGCTCACTCATAAGATTTGTATTTTAATTTCCGATTATTTAAGCTTATCCCACTGACTTTTTTCTCCCTTAAAAATAATCTTCAGGATTCAATGAGAAGCAAATTTGCATATTCAAGTTGGAACACTGTGTGACGAAACTACTTTGGTGGTTTGAAATTTAGATATTATGATGAAAAATATTTAAAATTTTGTGTAGGAGTGTCCATAAATGATAAAGCCTATTATAAATGAATCTGAAAGCTTTTTCTTCTGAGTTATCAGTTATGTCTACAGTACAACTTTGATTTTACCTAGATGATTCTCTGAGAGAAGAAATCTTAATCAATGCCTTAAAATCCTATTTCTCAGAAATATTATTTAAAATACAACAAAATAAAAATATCAATTTTTACTATATTGTTGAGTGATTTAAAAACATATATATATAAAGTAATTACTACATAAACATACAACTTAAGATGTACTTTTATAACTATTAGTGAGGTAATAGCAAAAAACCAGAATGGGTTTAAATTTTGTTCTTTTTATTTGAAAATATCTTAGGATTTTCAACAGTTAAGCTTAGAATGAGATATGGCAAAAGAGTCTTCGATATATTTTTAAGAAGATCTGGAGAGATGATTTAGAAACATAGCATTTTAAGCTAAATGCTATGAAGATCAAAATGTATCCAAGTACCAAATCATAGTATATTAAGAAAAGGGCAAGTAGAAATCTGAGGGATTGAATCTCATGCTGAATGTGAAGTAGTGAAACAGTAGATATTTTAATCTGAATTTACAGATCTACTTAAAGAATTATCCTTTAATCTACTCTCTTTAGCTATCTCTATGCTTAGATTTCATGTGGGCCCTGGCTTTCAATGCCATTTGTATGTCAATAAATCTAAAATCTATGCCTTCGACTAACCTTTCCACTGAGATGCAAACTCAGTTATCAACTACCTTCTTGACTTCTCCACTTGGTATGTAAATTAATCCTTCAGTCAAACGTGGACACTTTAATCTCTTAATTGCCCTCTCCAAGTTGTCTTTTCCCTGGCTGCTCTGTCTCCAGAAATGACACTATCTACTTAGTTGTTCAGGTGAAAAACTTAGAAGTTGTCTTTGATTTGTTTTGTTACTCTTTCCTAAAATTCAAGCCATAATAACTTGTTATAATACATTCAAAATGCATCCTGTACCCATCCACTTTGCTCCATCCCTACCACTACTATCATATCTTCCTGCATTCCTTCAACCGATCTCCCAATTGTCCTTCTTGCTTCCATTCCTGAAGTCCATTCTTCATGCAGAACTCAGAATGCTCTTTGTTAATACACATAAGACCACGTCACTTTCCTGTTGAAAACTCTTCAATGCTTTTCCCTTGTATACACAATAAAATGCAAACTGTTTGCCATGGCCAGCAAGGCCCTGTGCAATCTGGTCTGTCGACCTGTCTGTCCCCTTTTATCACTTAATCACCTGTGGCCTAGTTACATTATTTTTTTTGTTTTTGAACAATTCAACTTCATTCCTACATTATTGCCATCGCATATCTCTTTCATCCACCTACAACACATTGTTCTCAACAGCTTCTATGGCTGAAGCTTCTTCTTACTTATGTCTCTACATGGTGTCCTCTTCACAGATGAGGCCTTCTCTAACTTCCACATTAACCTTACTACCCCTGAGCTCCTATTGCATCATCACCTTGCTTTATCCTATGAAAATTATCAAGGTCATTTATTTATCATATAATATTTGCCTCCTCCAATAGAATCTAAGTTCTGTGACAGCAGAAGTATTATAGTCTTTTCTACTATGATATCTATTACCTAGCACGTCATATAGTTTGTATTCAAAAATTCATTTTTGAATGAATGAATGAAGGCTAGGACAGGACTAGTGCAGAAATTTTAAGGAGGTAGGCATGAGAGCTATTGAGATGTAATGGGCTGCCTTGTGTACATGCTGTCACTGTAGACGGTTTGGTAGCGAAGGATAGAGACTGTTGATAGGAGGTGTCCAGATTTTGGGAGAAAGTAGAAAATGAACAACATGCAGGGATAATATATGGCAACACTTGGGCCAAACATAATTTAAAGGTGTGCTTTGTTTGTCCAGCAGATTATTTTAAATGATCCTAATTTTGAATGTTTTTTTAGAGTTTTTGCACTTTTCAGCTCACCACAGTACCCATCACTCCATACTATGTTAGATACTATATTGCTCTATGCAGTAGTTTAGATGTTATTCACCCAATCTCTTCAGGCAGTTGAATTTTTTTTTTTTTTTTTTTTTTGAGTTGGAGTCTCACTCGGTCACCCAGACTGGAGTGCAGTGGCTGCTCCCGGCCACTGCACCTCACCTGCTGGGCTCTGGCGATCCTTCCGCCTCAGCCTTCCAAGTAGCCGGAATTACAGGCATGCGCTACCATGCCTGGCTGATTTTCTGATTTATTGTAGAGATGAGGTCTCGCTGTCCAGGCGGGTCTCAAACCTGCGGGCTCAGGCAATCCACTCACCTCAGCCTCCCAAAGGTGCGGGATTATAGGCTGAGCCACCGAGTCCAGCTGGTAGTTGAATTTTTAACATGAGGACTAGACACTCTCTAAAATTCCTTTTGCTCTTAGCCTTAGCGAAATAGAAAACTGTTAACTGTTAACATGATCTTAACAGAAAAATGGCAGTGGGAAAAAAGAGGGAAAATAAATAAGAAAAAATAAATTCTCATATAAAGTAACAATCAAATTGTTGTTTATATGTTTAAGTTAGATGTTTAATGTCTTTTCCATCAACTTTTACAAGAATGAATGTATTGATACTTGTTGTGACTTGGAATTACATAATTATGCATAAATAAGAAGTAATCTGTTTATAAAACATCTACAACTCATGACATCTTACATAAGATTACACACATGAAAATTAATTTTTTAAAACCTATAAAATCACAATTCTTCAAATAAAACTTAAAAATAATAAAAGCATTTCTGAACATTTTGCTGACTTTACACACAACTTTTCAAATAGGAAGCAAATGAACTAAAGCTCCCATTTCCTATTTGCTGAAGTCTTTATTCTATTATAAATTTGGTAGCCAATTTTCATTGATTTCCCTGATTTGAAGTAGCCCACATTTAATCTCTAAACTTAAATTTTTCAGTAAGTGCTATTTTTTAATGGGAAACTTTAACAGCAATCCCTGAGTATGTGGGAAAAGGGCTATCTGATAATGAAATGGAAGTTTTTATAATCATCTGTGAAAGTCTAATTAAAACTGTTACAGAAAAGCGAAGGTTTCATATTCTGTTCCCTAGAAGCTAATTTCTCCAAAGTATCCCCTCAACCTTTCATTTCTATCCCTTTCTGAGAAAAAAAAAATGTGACAGTAAAATAGCTGTGAAGAGGTAAAAGTATTTATTCCCGTGACAGCTTGGCTATAGTTTGTAACATCTGCCTGTTGGTATCTAACGAAATAACTTCTAAGAAATAGAATTTGTAACGAATCAAAATTATTTGACAATATTCACAATTAATTGTGGTAAAGTGTAACGTCAAACATAGTATAAAAACACACACAAAAAATCTATGTAAAAAGTATTTTTTTCAAAATAAAGTAAGAAAAATTAAAAGACAATGATTTGCAAGGATACACACACACACATTCATAAGAATGCCACACTAGTTGAACATATTAGAGAAAGATGTACCTACATGCCTCTAATAGACTATTTTGACGATAATAGAAATTTTGACTTCTCTAAACATTAGTTAACTACTTTTCTCATGTGAAGTGTATACTGACCTGTCACCTTTGAAGAAGTAGGTTTTCCCAACATCCTCCCACCAAATGGCTGAATCAATACCATGAGGGGGAATTCCACTTCCAAGAGTAATCAAGTCATGAGGGTAACCAGGTTGAAGAGTTGTGTCCTTGAACACCCAATATTTGTTACCTGTATGAAATAGGTGAAAATATAGAATATGTCAATTTAATGCCAGAAGCTATAATATGTTTCCACAATGCATTTAACATTATACACTAAATTCTTGAAATAAGTTAGTAGCAGTCACAGCTAAAATATTGACGTCATTTTTTTTAACATCAGTGCTAGATAATGAATACCAATTTAAAATAATATAACCTGAATTTGTGAGTTAATTTAAAAAATAAAATAGAGTTACAACTTCACTGTTGAGAAACAATTTTGACAGAATGGAGTCAAGGATTCTTCCCCTAGGAATTAGAGGTCCTGTTTTTGTTCAAGGCTAAATCATTTCTATATTTTGTGCAGTGTGTATGCCCTCAGATTGCTTTAGTGATTATAACCTCTACTCTACTGAAACACTTCCTTTGGGCTGATCCTTTCCTTTTATTATATACACATTCACAAGTCTCTCTAGTCTTACAGTCATTCCCCTTTGACCTCATGCCCTCTTCTAGCTGTAGCATTATTCCTCTCTTTAAAAGTGGTAACTGAGAGAGGGAAAGTTTTAACCCTAACTTGTTTGGAATTGCTGGAGCATGATAATACTAAAAAGTAGACAGACTTCAGTCAGTTTTATTGCTGTTTGGCAATTCTCTACAGATAATACACTTCCTCATGCCCTCCCTATGATCCTTGAAGGTGCACCCACCACTCCCCTCTTTGGTATAACCATCAAAGAGTCTATAGTCATTTCTCACTCCACTGAAAGTTGATATCATGTCTAATGGTCCACTGAAAACTTTTGTCATGGAGTCACCAAGGTCCTTTAACTAAACAATTTTCTACCCTGATCTATTGCCACTATTGATCACTTAAAGTACTTTCCTTCCTGAGCTGCTAGAAAATCATCTTCTGATTTCTACATTTGTTCTCTAGCTACCCCTGTCTGGGCTTATTTCAACTTTATTCAGTTCTTGCATGCTGATGTTTCCTGGGACTCTGTTCTTTGCTCTTTTCTTGTTATATGTAAGGAGGGGGTCACAAACTATGATACCTGCAAGAGTCAGGTTAGGGACGATAGGGGTAGAGTATCTCCACTAATATTGAGATACTCCCACAAAAGTCAGTAAATATCCCCTGGCCTAAAGGCCTATTTTTCTCTCTCTCCAAGTCCTCTTCCCTTGGGCCTTTTTATGATATAGCTTCCTCTTGGATCTTTAGCCCATTCTTGGGGTTAAATGTGGCAATGCAAGGTAAGCCTATGCCCTTTCTAATTGATGTAAGACTTTACTTATTTCTACAGTATTTCAAAACCACCCATAGATAAGGGCTATGATAAACTGTAGCATTCATGAAACACTTAAAGGCATTCAAAAAATTAAATAATATGCTATCTTATAATAATACAAACAAAACTCCATATTTTTAGATAAGATTTACTTAGGAGTCTCTAGTTTGTAACATTGTGCAATCTCATTTACTCAAAGATCATTCACTACCCATTTGATATTATTAAAGTTACAACAACATTTATAGCTTATTTTCAGTATCTTAAATATCATGTTAGATACTAAGGATATTAGAGAGATTAAGACAGACACAATTGCTACGCTTATCATTTTACCTGCCAGCTGAAGACACAGATGAAAACCAAATACACAAATATACAATTGTAGTAATTGAAAAACTAGTGCATGGTATAAAGAAAACACACAAGAGGTAGAGGAAAAAAATAAAAGAAAACCTTACTCTGAGTAAAAAAGTCAGGGGAAAACCTCTCAATAAATACGGCAACATCTAAAGAAAGAGAGGAAGAAAACCTATGCAAAAAATGTCAGGAAGACTATTCAAAGCAAAGGAGAGTTTGGTATGATCAATGAAGTGGAAGATCAGTAGATTGTAATAAGCAAGGAAAGTGGCACTGAAAATCAACATATGAATTGGAATCTTATTTTGAGTGCAGTGGGAAGCCATTAAAGAGATTAAATTAGTGGAGGAACATGCTTGGGTTTATATTTTCAAATGATAATTATTTTAATGAAAAAATAGATTATAAAGAGAATAATGGAAATGAGAGGACTTGTTAAGTCTTTTTGCAACAATTAATTAATTGAATCATTCATTCAGCAAGTTAAACATGTACATGTACCAGGGACCAATGTAGGCACCTGTGATATAGAAGTGAACAAGAAGGGCAACATCTCTATCTCATAAAGCATACATTCCATTGGGTTAGTAGGGGAAATAAACCTTAAACATGCGAAGACAACTTAAGAGAACAAAGTGTTACAAAAATAGAAAAAGAAAGAACATAAATGTAACAGTGATGGGACTGGTGCTACTTTGTACAGGACAGATCCCTCTATTCAACTGTGACTAATGTAACTCAATGAAGCTAGCCCAGTGAAGACTGCTGGAGATGGAGTAAACATCAAGAACAATGCCATAATAGGAAAAAGCTTGTAGGATAGCTAGGATAGAGTGTGGTAGAAGTGTGTTGTAAGGATAAAGGAGAGAATCGTGTAATCTTTGTAGGAGTTTAAACTTTATCCTAAATGAAATAGGAAGTCATTGAATCATTAAATTGAAAAGTTCTTTGATAGCAGTTTGGTGGCAGAAATAGAGATAGAAAAGAGAAAATGAAATAATGATATATTTTGGAGACAGAATTGATGGGCATTGCTGAGAAATTCACTGGGGGGAATAAGATAGCGATAATAATGATTCTCAAGTTCTGGCTTGGGTAGAGGAGAGAAAAACAGTGTTATCTAATAAGACAAAGAAGTCCAGACTGATGGTTTAAATCAAGACTAAGATGTTAGTGAGATATTTACATAAAGACGTCATGTAGGCAACTAGATATGTCATTTTGAAAATAACAATTTGTAAGATACAAGCAAAAATGTGGCATTTACAAATTTAGGATTTGGTGAGATTATCCAGGGAAGAGTATATCGAAAAGATAAAGAGAAACTGGTGGGCTTCCAGAAACCTATGACCATTAGGAAAGAGAGTGGTCATAAGTGGCTAGCTCTAGTTCAAAGATCTCTTGAAATTCAGTTAGTATGTAGAGTAACCTACTGGGATTTTCTACAAAGTTGAATCACAAAACCACCTTTGAACTCATCCCAAGATCCTTCTTCTTATTTTTCCTCTTTTTGGATGGATGGCATACTAGTTATTCTTTGACTCACATCAGAAACCTCCCTGTTCACTATTTTTCATTTTAATGGATCATTACATTCAGCTGATTTGAATTCCTAACTTTCAATTGAACCTGTTTTTTGAAGTCTGTTCATATCGCCAATAGTACTATGCCTTTTCCATTGTCCATTCTATTGGTCATTTATTTGTCCACACGCTCTAAGTTAGGTCTCATTGTTCTCCATATCTTCCCACTACCCAACCACATCAAGCCTAGAGTCAGTCAAAATGCTGCAGAGTAAGCAATAAAGATGTGGGTTGGTCAGATGGGCAGAGATGAACAAAGCCATCTAAATCTCTTTTTTTCTCCATGGCACGTGACCCAGGGAATATGGAGAGATTTTCCCACTCAACAGGAGGAAATGACTATTCCTTATATAAATGAGGACTGAGAAGCTATGATGGTTGTAGGAAGCAGACATTATGAGGTGGCAGTAATTGAATATAAGAGATGGACTGAAAGAGAAAAGAGAATGTAAAAGGCAAAAAGCAAGGCTTTGAATGGGAGAGAGATCAGGAGGCATATTACAGAGATGATGAGGACAGCCACTCCTGAGCTGTGTGAGTTCCTGTTACACACCTACTCCTTACTGTAAGTCCTCCCACAAGCTCAAACCTAACTGGGTTTATTTTTCTTTTAACTGAATGAGTCTGTTCAAAATAAGTTTTTCATCATTCAGACATCATATAAGACACTAGGTGCATTTGAGCCCAAGCTTGCTGGCTAGAGTCCTAGCTTTTAGCCAACGTACTATACTTTTAGCCATGTACCTTAAAAAAAAGCTCATTTACTTTCTAGCTAGCATTATTTCAAGTTTCCTTTCTTCTCTCCTTGATTCAAATCTGTTTCTCTTTTCTCTATCTTCCATAACAACAGTAAAGACATTTCTTTAAAGGCATACTTGATTTATGCTCTCTTTTGTTTAAAATTTTCAGTGATTTATCATTGTATTCAAGATAAAACCCAAATTCATGATATGTCATTTCAAGCTTCCTTTCAATCTGCATCTCCTGTCTATATTCAATTTATCTCTCTTTCTGGAAAACTGGGATGACTCTTTCAAAATTTAGCTTAGCATCATTTATCTGGAAAGTATTTCCTATCTGAGTAAGGTGGGCATCTTACATTGCCCGAGTACCAGTATTTACCTTTGTCATATTACTTAGTACCTTGTCCTTTAATGAATCAAGCTTGCCATCCACTCTAGGTTGTGAGCTACTGGAGGAAGAACATTATATCTAACACACTGTTTTCCTGCAGCACTTCATAGATAATGCTTGGAAAGAAGTAGGTGCTTAATAAATGAGTACTGATGCAAAGAACCATGTTTAATATTACACAAATAATCAAATATGGGATCAAAAATCTAACAAAAAGTGGCAACAAAAAGTTGTTACATAAATAACATTGTGGCGCTTAGTCTGGAATCTTGTGAACAAAGCAAGGAAAGTGAATTTTATAACCATGATCAAGTCTGAAAAAATATAAAGGTATGCCCCAGTAGTGTGTTGGAAAACCATTTATTTAAGTGATTATATTTAACTATGTATTGGGCAATAGAGTCACATAAAAATATATACCTATCCCTAGCCTTTATTTAATCCGGTCACTTTATTTAATCTAGATCATTTCCTTGCCAGTGTCAGTGAGATGAAAAATCCAGAGAGCTGTTTCACAGCTTGCTCTATATTTTAGTTATATCTCTGTGGCATTTAAAACAGAAAGTCTTAAAATAATAGAAGAAAATGAGGACAGCTCTGTTGGTCTATATCTATTAACTTATTGATTCCTTTCCTTTCATCTCATTTTTCATTAGGAAAGA